TGTGTGTGTGGGTGGGTGGGTGGGTGCTTGTGTGTGTGTTCTCATTTTTGTTAAGAGGCTGAAAAGTAACTTTCTAGAGCATAGACTACCTCCATCTAGTGATGTCGGTCTATTGATTTTGATGTATTGATTGAAAATTGTTCATTATTATCTTGGTTAATTAACATCTAATGTTAACTCTACTAAATTTTATAGCAGTAGGGTAAAATGCTTGTCTTTCTTCAAAAGACTGTATTAGCTGTAAAGACTGTCTTTTACATCAGCCTGTTTTCAGGGCCTTTTTTTGGCTACATATTTGTTATTTTTGGCATAAATCAGTGTCTGTGACCTGTTTTCATTTTAAAAAAAGAACATTGGCACAAACCTAGCCTGTATGTATTTTTTTGTATGTCATCGAGAGTATTTAAATGATTTTCAATCAGGAAAAAAATGTGCGATTAAAATGCGATTAATCGCGAGTTAACTCAGGCATTGATGCGATTAATCGCGATTAAAAAAATTTAATCGATTGACAGCACTAGAAATTAATAATAAAAAAATCCAAAAAAATTTATGAATTATTTTTAATGATCCGCGGAAACCCTGGATCATTCACGCATGTTTTGCTGCTTTGAATTTAATCATCTGGCGCATGCCCTCTAAGATCTCCAAGGAACTCAGAGCGGAGCAGACGGGAGCCACAGTGGAGGCTGTAGGCTTTGCTTTGTGCAGGTGGTCTGGAGCGCAGAGGGGCGGAGCGCAGACGGAGTATGTGGGATTTCGGGGTTAGTATGACATGTTGGTCGTGTTGCTGTTAGCATAAACAAAACGTGTTGCACACTGTTGCATTTTTATCCACAACTTTCTTTCTGCCATCATCGTAGGTCACTCTAAATCAGTGGTCTCCAACCCTGGTCCTCAAGATCTACTGTCCTACAAATTTTAGATGCATCCCTGCTTCAACACAGCTGAATCAAATGATTGATTACCTTTTCAAGCCATTCATTTGATTCAGCTGTGTTGAAGCAGGGATGCATCTAAAATCTGTAGGACAGTAGATCTTGAGGACCAGGGTTGGAGACCACTGCTCTAAATGCAAAGTGGTCCCATACAGCAGACCTATTTAGTGCTGCTGGCGCGTCTTCTAACTGCTGTTCTTTCCCACTCGCCATACCCACACAATTCTCCACAACAACTGATTTTTTTTTGCTACACCCGGCTACGCGGCTTTGCTGCTTCTTCTTCTTGTTTACTACTGGTGGTTGGCTTTGGTCGCAGTACCGCCACCTTCTGCTCTGGATTGTAAACGCTTCGCCTATGAGAAAAAGGAGCAGCGCATGAACCGAACGAAACACACGCGAACCGAACCGAGACAGTCGAACCGAACGGTTCTGACGGTTTTCATAAACCGTTCCATCCCTAAAAAATAAATATATATATATATATATATATATATATTATATATATATATATATATATATATACCAATAGTCACACATACATAATCACATACAAAAATACAATTTTTATCATATTATGAGTAACAAAAGCTTTTAATGACAGAATGAGTTAATGCAGCAAGTCAATATTTGCAGTGTTGACCCCTCTTCTTCAGGACCTCTGCAATGCTCCCTAGCATGCTCTCAATCAGCTTCTGGACCAAATCCTGACTGATAGCGTCCATTCTATCAAAATCAATGCTCGCTTCAGTGGGATTAAGATCAGGGGAGTTTCCAGGCCATGGACTCAAAATCTCTGTTTTGTTCCCTGAGCCAGTTAGATATCACCTTTGCTTTATGGCAAGGTGCTCCATCATGCTGGAAAAGGCATTGTTGATCACCAAACTGCTCTTGGACGGTTAGGAGAAGTTTCTCTCGGAGGACATTCTGGTTCCATTCTTTAATCATGGCTGTGTTTTTAGGTCAGACTGTGAGAGAGCCGACTCCCTTGGCTGAGAAGCAACCCCACACATGAATGGTTTCAGGATGCTTTACAGTTGGCATGAGACCAGACTGGTGGTAGCGCTCACCTCATCTTCTCCCAACAAGCTGTTTTCCAGATGTCCCAAACAATGGGAAAGGGGATTGATCAGAGAAAATGACTTTCCCCCAGTCCTCAGCAGTCCACTCCCTGTACCTTTGGCAGAATATCAGTCTGTCCCTGATGTTTTTCCTGGAGAGAAGTGGCTTCTTTGCTGCCCTCCTTGAGACCAGGCCTTGCTCCCAGAGTCTCTGCCTCACAGTGCGTGCAGATGCACTCACACCTGCCTGCTGCCATTCCTGAGCAAGCTCTGCACTGCTGGTAGCCCGATCCCGTAGCTGAAACACTTTTGCTTGCTGTTCTTTCTTTGGTGCCCTGGAGCCTTTTTGGCAACAATGGAACCTCTCTCCTTGAAGTTCTTGATGATGCGATATATTGTTGACTGAGGTGCAATCTTTCTAGCTGCAATTCTCTTTCCTGTTTGGCCATTTTTGTGCAGTGCAATGTTGACATGTCATTCTTAATCATGACAGATTGATCTCCAGCCCTGTCCTCAGCACCAACCGCACCTGTGTTAATGGAGCAATCACTGAAACGATGTTAGCGGGTCCCTTTAAAGCAGGGCTGCAATGATGTTGAAATGTGTTTTGGGGGATAAAGTTTATTTTCTAGGCAAATATTGACTTTGCAATTAATTGCTGTTTCGCTGATCACTCTTTAGAACATTCTGGATTATATGCAAATTGCCATTATAAAAACTAAAGCAGTAGAACTTGTAAATATTAACATTTTAATTATTCTCAAAACTTTTGGTCATGACTAATATATATATATATATATATATATATATATATATATATATATATATATATATATATACACTATATTGCCAAAAGTATTTGCTCACCCATCCAAATTATTGGAATCAGGTGTTCCAATCACTTCCATGGCCACAGGTGTATAAATTCAAGCACCTAGGCATGCAGACTGTTTTTACAAACATTTGTGAAAGAATGGGTCGCTCTCAGGAGCTCAGTGAATTCCAGCGTGGAACTGTGATAGGATGCCACCTGTGCAACAAATCCAGTCGTGAAATTTCCTCGCTCCTAAATATTCCACAGTCAACTGTCGGCTGTATTATAAGAAAATGGAAGTGTTTGGGAACGACAGCAACTCAGCCACGAAGTGGTAGGCCACGTAAACTGACGGAGCGGGGTCAGCGGATGCTGACGCGCATAGTGCGAAGAGGTCGCCAACTTTCTGCAGAGTCAATCACTACAGACCTCCAAACTTCATGTGGCCTTCAGATTAGCTCAAGAACAGTGCGCAGAGAGCTTCATGGAATGGGTTTCCATGGTCGAGCAGCTGCATCCAAGCCATACATCACCAAGTGCAATGCAAAGCGTCGGATGCGGTGGTGTAAAGCACGCCGCCACTGGACTCTAGAGCAGTGGAGACGCGTTCTCTGGAGTGACGAATCGCGCTTCTCCATCTGGCAATCTGATGGACGGGTCTGGGTTTGGCGGTTGCCAGGAGAACGGTACTTGTCTGACTGCATTGTGCCAAGTGTAAAGTTTGGTGGAGGGGGGATTATGGTGTGGGGTTGTTTTTCAGGAGCTGGGCTTGGCCCCTTAGTTCCAGTGAAAGGAACTCTGAATGCTTCAGCATACCAAGACATTTTGGACAATTCCATGCTCCCAACTTTGTGGGAACAGTTTGGAGCTGGCCCCTTCCTCTTCCAACATGACTGTGCACCAGTGCACAAAGCAAGGTCCATAAAGACATGGATGACAGAGTCTGGTGTGGATGAACTTGACTGGCCTGCACAGAGTCCTGACCTCAACCCGATAGAACACCTTTGGGATGAATTAGAGCGGAGACTGAGAGCCAGGCCTTCTCGTCCAACATCAGTGTGCGACCTCACAAATGCGCTTCTGGAAGAATGGTCAAAAATTCCCATAAACACACTCCTAAACCTTGTGGACAGCCTTCCCAGAAGAGTTGAAGCTGTTCTAGCTGCAAAGGGAGGACCGACGTCATATTGAACCCTATGGATTAGGAACGGGATGTCACTTAAGCTCATATGTGAGTCAAGGCAGGTGAGCAAATACTTTTGGCAATATAGTGTATATATATATATATATATACCTACCCAAGGGTAATTGATGATTAGAAAACCCTTATGCAATCATGTTCACACATCTGAAAACAGTTTAGCTCGTTACAGAAGCTACAAAACTGACCTTCCTTTGAGCAGATTGAGTTTCTGGAGCATCACATTTGTGGGGTAAATTAAACGCTCAAAATGGCCAGAAAAAGAGAACTTTCATCTGAAACTCCACAGTCTATTCTTGTTCTTAGAAATGAAGGCTATTCCATGCGAGAAATGGCTAAGAAGTTGAAGATTTCCTACAATGGTGTGTACTACTCCCTTCAGAGGACACCACAAACAGGCTCTAACCAGAGTAGAAAAAGAAGTGGGAGGCCGCGTTGCACAACTGAGCAAGAAGATAAGTACATTAGAGTCTCTAGTTTGAGAAACAGACGCCTCGCAGGTCCCCAACTGGCATCTTCATTAAATAGTACCTGCAAAACACCAGTGTCAACATCTACAGTGAAGAGACGGGATTCTGGGCTTCAGGGCAGAGTGGCGAAGAAAAAGCCATATCTGAGACTGGCCAATAAAAGAAAAAGATTAAGATGGGCAAAAGAACACAGACATTGGACAGAGGAAGATTGAAAAAAAAAAGTGTTGTGGACGGATGAATCCAAGTTTGAGGTGTTTGGATCACAAAGAAGAACGTTTGTGAGACGCAGAACAAATGAAAAGATGCTGGAAGAATGCCTGACGCCATCTGTTAAGCATGGTGGAGGTAATGTGATGGTCTGGGGTTGCTCTGGTGCTGGTAAGGTGGGAGATTTGTACAAGGTAAAAGGGATTCTGAATAAGGAAGGCTATCACTCCATTTTGCAACGCCATGCCATACCCAGTGGACAGAGCTTGATTTGAGCCAATTTCATCCTACAACACGACAATGACAAAGAATACTTTTAAACATAAAAGTTGAGGTTCAAACCTGTATGTCAGGGCTGACGTACATGTTGGGAGATGTAGTTCCAGTCTGTTTATATGTAGTTGGATTAACACAAAGTCGAGTGTCCTTTATTTAACCACCAATAGAACATCTCTGTTGTGTTTGTCTTTCAGACCGCCTGCAGGATTATTTTAGAAAAGAAGAGGGTTTCTCTGATCAGCAGCTCTGTGGACAGGAGAGGAATTCCAGTTTGGACCAAGAGGAACCAGAACCTCTGCAGATCAATGAAGAGCAGCAAGAACCAGAACATCCCTGGACAAAAGGGAAAACCATGGAACTCCCCATAAGTGAGCAGGAAGAGACAGATACAGGAGGGAAACCTTTCTCATGTTTGACATGTGGAGAACACTTAAAAAAAAAAAAACATTTAATGGATCACATGAGAACTCACAAAGGTCAGAAGGCTTTTGAATGTCTGTCATGTGGAAAAAGCTTCACTCAGAAATCCAGTCTTGTTTCACACATCAGAATTCACACAAACGAGAAGCCCTTTTCCTGTACCATTTGTAACAAGAGTTTTACCAAAAAGAGTACTTTAAATTCTCACAAGAGAATTCACACAGGTGAGAAACCTTTTGAATGTCTGTCCTGTGGAAAAAGCTTTACTTATAAATCTCATCTTTATAGTCACACCAGAATTCACACCGGTGAGAAAGCTTTTCCATGTACCATTTGTAACAAGAATTTAACTGACAAGCATAATTTGACTTCTCACATGACAATTCATACAGGTGAGAAGCCTTTTTCCTGCACAATATGTGGCAAAAGTTTTACTGTAAAAGGTAGTTTGATGGATCATATGAGAGTTCACTCAGGTGAGAAGCCTTTTGAATGTCTGTCTTGTGGAAAAAGCTTCCCTTACAAAAGCAGTCTTACTACTCACATGAAATTTCACGCAGGCGAGAAGCCCTTTTCCTGCACAATTTGTGGCAAACGTTTTACTCTAAAAGGTAGTTTGATGGATCATATGAGAGTTCACTCAGGTGAGAAGCCTTTTGAATGTCTGTCTTGTGGAAAAAGCTTCACTCGTAAATCTAGTCTTAACACTCACATGAGAAAACACACAGGTGAGAAGCCTTTTTCCTGTGCAAATTGTGGCAAAAGTTTTCCTCAAAAAGGTCATTTGACAGTACACATGAGAATTCACACAGGTCAGACGCCTTTTGAATGTCTGTCTTGTGGAAAAAGCTTCACTAAGAAATCTAGTCTTGACACTCACATGAGAAAACACACAGGTGAGAAGCCTTTTTCCTGCACAATTTGTGGCAAAAGTTTTACTCAAAAAGTTAGTTTGATGGATCATATGAGAGTTCACTCAGGTGAGAAGCCTTTTGAATGTCTGTCTTGTGGAAAAAGCTTCACTAATAAATCTAGTCTTAACACTCACATGAGAAAACACACAGGTGAGAAGCCTTTTTCCTGTGCAAATTGTGGCAAAAGTTTTCCTCAAAAAGGTAGTTTGACAGTACACATGCGAATTCACACAGGGGAGAAGCCTTTTGAATGTCTGTCCTGTGGAAAAAGCTTCCGTCAGAAATCTACTCTTAATACTCACATCAGATTTCATACAGGTGAGAAGGCTTTTTCCTGTGCAATTTGTGGCAAAAGTTTTACGCTAAATAGTCATTTGACAAACCACATGAGAATTCACACAGGTGAGAAGCCTTTTGAATGTCTGTCCTGTGGAAAAAGCTTCTGTCAGAAATCTGGTCTTGATACTCACATGAGAATTCATAAAGGTGATAAGGCTTTTTCCTGTGCAATTTGTGGCAAAAGTTTTATTACAAATAGTAATTTGACATCACATATGAGAATTCATACAGGTGAGAACTTGAAGCCTTTTGAATGTCTGTCCTGTGGAAAAAGCTTCACTCTGAAATCTATTCTTGATAGACACATCAGAATTCACACAGATGAGAGGCCTTTTAAATGTGTTTCCTGTGGAAAAAGCTTCACTCGGAAATCTCATCTTGATGACCACATGAGAATTCACACAGGTGATAAACCTTTTATCTGCATGATTTGCGGCAAACGCTTTACTAGAAAAAATAGTTTGACCATTCACATGTACAGAATCCACACAGGTGAGAAGCCATCTCCTGAATGATTTGTCACAAAGGTTTTAAGCGAGAAGGTAATTTGAGTATTCAGTTGACATTTATTAATGCATGATGTGGAAGGGTTTGTATTTTTTTTAAGTCATAGGGAAATCATATTTTAATGTCAAATCATTGTTGCTTAAGCATGTATGTAAATGTACTCTTTTATCATACGATATTGTCCAAAAGAAAATTTCTGTAAAAAAAAAAAAAAAAAAACTGTCTTAAAATCTTTGGGTTTTTTTTTTCTCGTTATGTTACGTAGGCCGGTTAGTTATTTCTAGGGATGCACGATGTTGGGATTTTGGCCGATATCCGATATGCCGATATTTTAAAACTCATGTAGCCCATAACCGATATCGATACCGATGTTAAAGCTGGACAAAAATAAGTAGTCATTGAAAATAGCTGTTTTGTTATCCATTTCTGACACTTTGAAAAATAATATACTCAAATATATTTTCATATGCTGATATCAAATTGATTTTTAAAAACGCGGTATCGATCTATTTTACTTTAAAATCTCGTGAAATTTAATTGTTCTGTTACAAACTTGTGATATTTTGCAATTTCTTGTGAGATTTTGTTAGTAAAATAGATCGATACCGCTTCAATATATCAACATATAAAAATATGGCAAAATTTCGTGAATTTTAAATTTCGTGAATTTTCGGGGAATTTCGTAGCATAACCATGACATATAGCAATATTTCATTAGCAAAAGAGATTGATATGGTGTTCTTAAATGGCAATATATCAGCAAATGAAGATATTGTGATATTTTAATGTATCAATATTTTTTCCCTCGTCTTTAGAAGTTTTTAAGTCTGTAAAAAAGAAGTTTTTAAGGAAGAAGTAGTAGTTTTTTTTTTTTTTTAGACTTTAGAAACTCGGAAGCTGATCAAATATCGTGTTAAATATCGGTGTGGTGGCCGATGTCCGATATTCAGTTTTAAGGCCGATACAGGCCGATACCGATAGGGGGCCGATTATATGGTGCATCCCTAGTTATTTCTTCTTGTACACCTAAATTCGGCAAATCATATATCAACAGTCATCTGTCAGTCAAATTTCTTCAATCATTGCATCTTGATTCATATGTCGCAGCTAATATAGGTGAAGGTTAAAATAAGAAATAAAAATAATTTCCTTTACCATTGAGTTGCGTCCCAGTGTTCACGGGGATGGACGTCTGTGTCTTCGGCAGGCGTAGAGCTAACAGAACTGGCAGCGTTGCGAGGCAAGGGCTCAAACATGTACGGCTGGAAGCCTTCTACACCAAGCCAAGCTTCTGCCGCCCTGGCGTCCTCTTCCACAACATCTTCGTCCCCGCTTTCCTCCTCTAAATAAAAAATGGATGACGGAGGAGACTCATCCACGACCTCCGACACTAAACTCTCCTCCTCTTGCATGTTTCCTCTGTCCATAGCGTTCCTTTACAGTGTCGTTTCTAAGTCACCAATTTAGTGCTACTTGGTCCCAATGGAATTTCCCATTGGGACCAAGTAGCACTAAGTTGCTAACTGGTTAGCAAGATGCTTCCAAACATCGGCACCAATTAAACTTGCTTGTGAACCTTCTGCCACAACGACCTCTTGATAAACGACCAATTACATTCACTTTATTCACTCGTGTAAAGTCGTGCACTACTCGGGAGAATATGGAAGAATATATACGGTTAGAGCAGCCGTTTCCCTACAACTTTAAAAACATTCGTGTCACTTAAGTTGCAGCAGTTAGATGCCACAGGAATGAACATTACAGGTGTTTTCCATGTTTGACTGGTGGTAAAATGTCCATCTAGAAACTTCTTCACCTCATTACATGAGAAACTCACAGGTTAATGGTATTTTTGGAGGAAAGGTTTGAGAAAGCCATTAAATAACAGCTTTGTTACATAGAAACCAGAACAGATAAGGTGTTCTATTGTAAACTGGTAAATATTCAGGTCCTGGACGAATATGTGGATGTGCTCATTTAAAAGTTAATTATTTAGGGCCTGAGTAAATTAGATTTAAATGGCCAAAAAACGGAATGGTTCCCTTGCAAAACAGATTTTTAAATTTCTGGATTTTTCTTTAATGAAGGGAATAAACATAATAAAGTGCAACTACAACATCTTAGTTACAGATGAAGCAAGTTTAGAATCCATACAACAAGCAATTGGGAAGAATGTTTAAATTGAAATAAAAAATCCAGATGGACACTGCAGTGGTCCATCTGGATTTGAACTTTTTCTGGATTAATTTACTCAGAAAAAAAACTAAATTTTATTTTTAAACATGAGAAATCTTAGCTGAATGATTTGCTATCAGTTGGATATATTCCAGAAACAGATTTTTATTCAGGTGAAAATATCCTCAGATGAAAATAAAAGCAAAGGTAGGACAGATTTAATGTGCTTTGCTCAGTTTCTTGATGTTTTTGGAGGATTTTTTAAAGTTCGCCTGCAAATGTTCAGAGTTTAGCTAATTCAGTGTCTTGTTGGCTTTCATTAGCAATGCATCAATCAGCCCTGCTACGTGTGTTGTTGAAACCAGGCCCACCAAAACTCCAACTGTTTTAGCCTCAGTGTTAGAGCTATGGTCAATAGATATTAGAATGAAGTAGATCATCTATAGAGGAGTCTCAGATGAAGATTTGGGACATATAGAAGTGTGTGTCAGTCTCAGAGTTAGTCAGCTACAAGCTAATTAATGTTGCAAAGTAGCTCCAGCCACCTTGAAAGGGGGTGCTGGGATTATGGGGTTAAACTACGGGACATCAAAGAACTCAGTTTAGAGGCTGGAGTCTGTAATTCAGGTAAATTGAAGTCCTAAAATGATGAAACATGTTTGTTTAAAAAGATAAACTAGATTGATGATGTTGCTGTTATTTTACTGATCAGGTTGAACCTGCTTTAACTTGGTAAAAAGCCTTTGTCTTAATAATGTATTAAAGAAATCTAACTCTCCTCTAGAAGTGTGAAGTTTCTGCTTTTTAAAGATTTTTTGAAAGTTTCCTTTGAACTAATTCTAATAGTTTTGTTCTTGATTCTGTAGATGTTCTATTTACCTGCTATGATTGAAAGTAACTATCACCTATTTTATACAACTGATTTTATGGATTATATTCTGCTGTGGATGTTTTTAATTATTGTAATCACTTCTAAATTGATGAAAGAGCAGCAATAAAAACCTCATGGATTGTAAAAATGTTTCTTTATCTGGTTTCATATAAATTAGAAACAATCTTTTTCCATGTTTTCTCTGATATTTTCAGCCAAACTAAAGCTGTAAAATAAATAGTTTAATGGCATTCACCTTCTGTCTTCTCCAGTCTTTCCTGTTGCTCCTCCGTCAGCATTAATCTGTTTGCTTTTTAGAGCCTGAGTTCAAATCTGGCCATTGGATAAATCCTCCTTTGCTTGTTGGAGAACTTAGATTAGGAAATAATGTAGGTACGTATTCTGGCCCAGTTGGTTTGGCTCCTGATAAAACAAGTGTTTCAGTTGCTATAACTGTGTGAGTCCAGAGCCGCTACAACCAAGCAACTAGAGGAATGAAGGATCTAACTATGGCTGTGTTCACAATGCAGACTGAAGGGAACCAAATCTGATTTATTCTTTAATTAAAAAACATTTTAAAAATGCCAAAATGAAAGTGCAGCTAACAGATGAACTTGAGAAAACATTTTTAGTCCAGTGGGAGGCTGAGTGCACCGTGTGCAAAGCTGGCTCATTAGTTTCAGTGTCTAATAAAGGTGCTGGATTTGCTTTTTAAGCCAACTGATGTTTGCAGGAGCTGTTTTGAACTAGACTACAGAGGGACGGCAGCAGTTTATGGATCATGTTACTTCATGTTTTTGAACTTTATTAGGGAGATTCACTGAGCCTCCTGATGGGTTTTTAGGCACAAGACAATTTGGAGATAAAGGTTCTTTATCTAAACACAAATAATCCAGTAGATTGTATGTTTGACCTCCTCTGCCACAAAACCCCAGCATATTTACATAAAATTATTAGATTTAAAATTATTTCAATTTTGTTTAAATGAAACTTTGGTTTAACTGCCATGTCCCCTTTTCTCTGTTCTTCTGAAATCAATTTATGATTATAATACAAAAACTAAAATATTTCAGTTTTAAATATTACTGATAAATAGTACAGTTCATGTAGTTTAAAGTACTTTCTAAGCAAGTAACATGGAAATAATAATCAGGAGGACAAGCTGTAGATAATCACACGTGTATAAATAGCTGAAGTTGAAAAAATGGCAGCCATGACACTCCTGGATGAGTCATTGGAAGAAAGCGGGGGGTCTGAACCAGAAAGCTGGTATAGATGTTACAGAGGGACGCTAATGCTACATTCACACCGGACGCAGCAAAAGCAGCAAAATCGCGTCTCCTGCTTCGTTTTTGCTGCTTGTACCAGTTAGTTCTGACGCGCGGCTGAAGCAGCCTTGCTGCTCTCGCTGCGCGGTCCAAAAGTGGGTCTGACGCACGCTGGGCGGAGCTTTACTGTCCTTTCTTTGCCTTGCAGCTATATTTGCTGTGATCAGTGGGAATAAAGTAGTTTTAATATGTTTTTAAGTGAGAAAATACACCTGAAAACTTCATCAGTGCAGTCAGTTCATCCAGAGTACAATCCTGCCTCCCAATGTTATTTCTGTCGGAGCTGCTCAGACCCCCACATACCAGCGGTGCGCTGTCAGTAGGAATCCCTTCATCAGGCTTCATGGAGGCTTTAAAACATACAGTAATATAAATGTAAAATGTGCCTTTCCCCGACAGAGCAACCCACTTAGATCAGTAATTATACCAAAATTATCCCAAAATTGTAAAAATACAATATATATATATATATATATGATTTAAAAAAAAAAATTATCTGTCAATATTCTCCATCCAGAATTCCTGAAGAGGAAATATTTAGTTTCACCTGGTTTATTTAGACATCACCTGAAGCACTGAAGGGCAGCTGCTTCACCTACAAGCTGCCCCTGCATCATTATTACTGGATATCTGTGTTTCCTATAATCATATAATGTATAAGTGCATTTTTAATAGTAAAGGATTTAATGAAACACAACCTTTTATCATCGTCCTATATTGCTTACTGTCCGACTGTTTAAATAGCTCCTTTCCTTTTTTAGTGGCATCGTCTACAAACACAACACTAAGAATGAGCTGTAGAATGAGTGTATTCAAATATAAAATCACTTTTAACAATTATAAAA